TTGGCATTTTTGTTGGAAAGAAACATATAGTAATTTTAACGTCATATTATATAGTTGGATCAATCCCTACAAAGTGGAAAAAACCATAATTTCCCTCACTGAAACTATTGAAATTATCATTATGAAAACATAGTAAAATGAGATGAATTCTCTGGGGATTATTTCTATATTGTTGGGTAATTTTTCGCAGGATGTGTTTCATGAAGTTCCTGTAGTGACCAATAGATAGATAATTTTGTTACCATCACTATAATTTCAATTCTCATACTATGATGTTATGTCAAACGTTCGCTATTCGCCGATCATGAGGCCCTAAAATGAGGTCAAGGAACCAAAACCCGAACTACACATTGCCACCCTCCTTGCTACAAATTTTGGCAGAAGCCATAAACCACTCATTTTTCCTAGCTGTTTAAAAATAGCAAATATCATTCCTTTATCTAAAAGTGATGACCTTGATTCTCCATCAAACTTTAGACCGATTGCTTTGCTTCCTGCGTTAGCGAAGGTAATCGAAAGATTAGTTAAAAAAAGAATGGTATCGTTCTTAAGCAAACATGGTATCCTCAGTACTGACCAATATGGCTTTCAAACCTCCTCAAAATACCAATGATGCTATATTTGCATTTCTTGAGCGTCTGTATCTTAGGTTGAATGATGGGGAGGTAGCTGCAGCAGTGTTCTGTGACCTTTCAAAGGCCTTTGACTGTGTAAATCACAGAATACTGCTTCAAAAGTTACACACCTATGGCTTCAGAGGTGTAGCATTACTCTGGTTTCAATCTTATCTGGCCGAACGCTTCCAAAGCGTCATCATCGCAAATGTGAACTCGAAGCATCTGGCTCTCAAACACGGAGTACCGCAAGGCTCTGTACTGGGACCCCTGCTATTTTTATTATATGTGAATGACCTAACACTTGTCGACATACATGGACAATTTACAATATTCGCAGACGATACGACCATCCATGGCATGGTACTGATAACGTAATTTTAAAAGACATCATCAATGAGGACCTGAACAATGTTAAAAAATGGTGCGACGCCAACATATTGTCTTTCAACACCTCTAAGACAGGTATAATCAACTTTAAGAGCGTTATCAACAATGTATTTCTCGATAATGACTGTCTTAGCATCAAAGCTACACATAAATTCTTGGGATTGAATATTGACGCCAAACTAAAATTTGAAGGGCACATTTTAAACTTAGCTAAAAAGCTAGCGTCTGGCTGTTATGCCGTACGAGTTACATCCAATGAATTAGGTCTAACTGCGGCAAAAAACGCTTACTACTCACTCATTGAATCGCACCTACGCTATGGTATTTGCTTTTGGGGCTTGTGCGCAAACTATTTATTCCTTAGAGTTTTTATTCTCCAAAAGAGAGCACTAAGATATACAGTGTGTCCCACTTACCATGCTCACCATGGGTATCTTTTTAACGGTGAGAGATACGAGGTCGGTTAAATGACACCAAATGTGTCGGAGGTCGGAGATCATGATTTTTTTTGTTGAAATTCATAAATTCAAGATGGCGGCTTCCAAATATTTTTTGTTTTTGTATAAATGACGATAACTCCGTTGTTATCAACACAAAACTATTACTGCGACATATCATCTGTAAGAGAAAAAAAAGTTATTTGTAACTAGTGAGCTATGACCTACATTTGAAAAACTAAAGTGGGTGCTGATATCTCAAATTCTAGAAGAGTTGGTAGAAATTTCATATTTGTTCCAAAATCACTTCGAAAAACTGCCAAGAGAATGTGAAATTCCTATTTGAATATTTTCATAAATGAAGAAGTTACGGAGGACACATGAAAATGATCAAAGTCCGTTTTTTGCGTATAAAACAAATCGAATAGATTTTATCGAAATATTTTTTCACATTATAGTTGGCCCTGACAAACTCCACATTTGGTGTCAGTTAACCAACCTCGTATCTCTCACCGTTAAAAAGATACCCATGGTGAGCATGGTAAGTGGGACACACTGTATGTGCAAAGCCGATTCGAAGAATTCATGTAGACCTTCATTTTTGGCTCATAGAATACTGCCACTGGCCTGCATTTTCATTTTGGAAACCGTTTGCCTAGTTAAAAAAAAGTTTAAAGAATTCAGACATGAGTCGACGACACATAATACCTGCAGCTCTTCCTATAACATTAAACTGCCCATTCCCACGTCAACTCTTACCAAGAATTCTATAATTATTTATGAAGGCGAGAAGTTGTTCAATCATCTGCCCTTGCACATAAAGCAAATAGAAACTGAACAAAAGTTCAGGAAATCGGTTAAAAAGTTTCTATTGGAAAAAGCGTGTTATAATCTCACCGAATTCTATCAGGGTACCTGATTTTATAATAATTCTACTGATTTTCAAACTTGCTTATAAATGTATCACTGTCTTTACAAACAAATTTGTGAATGTTTATACATATTTTTACTTCTATACATTTTTACCTTTATACATTTTTATACAATTTTATACATTTACACACTTTTTTACATGTCTACACTTTATATTTGAATATGTGTTTTTATTTTCTATATAAGACTATGCTTTGTGAGACGATCAATACTTTGTCAATAGGAATTTATTCTTCAGGCAATAAAGTACATTTTGATTTGATTTGATTTGATTATTGGTTCAAACCGTTAGTCCGTCACCACCTCTGGCAGTTGAAATGGCGATATACCGGTTCGGTTCCCGCATGAAAAATGTTTTGATATAGCAAGAAATGCAGGAATTCGAAATCCCAAAAGCACAAACTCAGGAGTTGGTATCGAAATTAACTATCTAAATCAACTATGGATATCGAAAGATGGATGAAATACGAAAAAGTTTGTCCGAGAGACTATGTGGAAATTATGTACTTGTGTTTTCTTATTGGTATAATGGATGGTATGTTTCTGTTCGAAGAATTATTATATTCAATATTTCCAGCATTTCATCATTTTTTTCTCGATAATAATTGTATGAAATCTCTCAATGAATGATAATGTGAAATCCACCATAACAGTTAGGGATTTATTACAATAGTATGTATGTCCTTCATCTAGTCAATGACTAGTTCATGACAATCAATACATAGAACACAAATACAGTGAAATAAAAAAAATACAGACAGATATTTGATTATAATGTTTATAATAATTATATTATTAATATTGATGATTACATTATGGTAAGTACAAGTGAGTATAAGATCGATAAAAATAGTCACGAAAAACCACAATGGCTAACACAAAAACAAGGAAACTAATAAAAAAAATTGTTATAAACAAATGAATTGAAGAATAGTATCGCACCATAAAAAAATGGGTTGAGTCAATTGCTGTTCATAATATATTGTTGCAGATGTACTACCAACATTTCAATGCATTTGGTTGTTTGTTGTGAGCTGTAATTCCCATATTGAAAATGTTTTTTTTAGTTCTCATTAGTTCTGTTTTTTATATGTATATGGTTCCTTCGAAGGGTATTGTATGAGTATATATCAGACCAGACCTGTAGGTTCCTTGACAGGTATTCAGGAAGTATATTATTGACTAGTTTATGAATGAAAATCAGCGTTCGAAATTTCATAAGTTTTTCAAAAGACATCCACTATAGTTGTAGTTGCATACGCTCTATACCTTCGAATCTATCACACCCCAGAAGGAAACGCATACTCACATCTATTTTGTAGAATTTGTAATATTTTGGCATCTGTGTCATGGCACATAAATACAATACAATATAAGAGCAGTATCCAAAGTGAGGTTCAATTGTGTTATTATATATCATATGTTCACTAAACTGAGATTTCTGCTTATTATATATGCGAATCCAATTTTGTCGAGATATATTCAATGTGATCTCCAAAAGACAATTTTTCGTCGATGACATTGCCTCGATATTTTATGCTCTCAACACGCTCAAGATCTTAATGTCATTGACAAAACATATAACGAGTAAAGCTCCCAAAATGCTGCCTTGACGTACTCCCGATATCAAATTTTTTTGCATTAGATATGTAACAATCAAATTTTGTTCTTTGGAACCTATTTTGTAAGTAAGACTCGAACCACGCAAAGGCATGTCCGTTTACTCCGAAATGTAGATTGATAAGCTTCTTTAGCGAAATTCTTCCATCTACAATTTCAAATGCCTGACGCAAAAAACTCCAGAAAAACTGCAATAACTGTATTACCTTCGTCAATCAAGGATCTGAAGTCATTTATCACTTTCTGTAATGCAGTTTGACCAAAAATACTTTTTTCACCAAGATAATTTGTGAATTGCTTATGAACTGATAATTCCAGTATTTTTTCACGACATGGTGAAGTATTTATAGGCTTGAATTCTTCAATAGTTCTAGTCCCAGCTATCTTCGGTATGGGAATAACAACCGATGTTTTTAAATTATCAGGAGAGGAACCTTTTCTCAAAGATGTAATAATACAATGCAATAGTGGGTAGCTTATTGTATCGAAATGTTTTTCCATCAACTCCAAACTCACTCAATAGTAATATAATTATTTTCACTGTATTAATAAAGTACCAATGCAAAATAGTAATTCATAGTGCTGACATTTCAAAGCAATATTTACTATGAAGAATTACTATGACCTTTCACGATAAATATTGCTTGGAAGTATAATCGACGCACTTTATAGTAAAGGGTTCAATAATTATAGTGTATTCCACTACAATATTTTTGTTGTGCATCTACACGCCATAGTGGTGAGCGACTACTTCACTACTCAGATCACTTCCTACCCAGCAGGTATATGTGAAGCACGTGAGAAGAGTGAACTAACACTTGGTTCAGTATACCGTCAATAAAAATTGATAAATGTGTTCCACCATCGACAGTGAACCCTCTTGGTTCCGAACCCTTGAAAATCTATTAAAAAGTGATGATCATAACTTTAGAATGCCAAGAGCTTGAAGAACAATTATATTTTGAATATTCTATCCCATGAAATTATTCAGCTAATGTTTTTTCAGGTCAATGCATCACCATCACTAACATCAACGACTGCGAATGACAGAATACTGAAACATAAATTGCTCGATAACCTGCTCAACATTGTCGTTCCACCTTCAGGCATGCCCGAGTAAGTAGAACTTCAGTCGAATGTCTAATACCAATTCGGTATTGGAACCAATATCTAGCGCAATGTTGACTTACATCATGAGGTTTACGTTGCTATCCTTCTCCTTAGACATACGCTATTTCGTCTTAACTTCACATTAGTCTTGAAACTGAAACTGATCTGAAGATTAGTATAGAGGGTTCATTGAATGGGTCCTGTTCAATGAAAATATTTCGATCAGAGATGACGGCACTTCCGGTTTTACCGGAAGTAGAGATCACTCTCGGAATTTCAACCTTCTCGCTGCGAATGTCGCATTAATGCGTTATTTTATTCAAGTGTCACCTCTGCGGATGACGCATTTTTGCGAAAAGTCTAGCCGTTTCGCTGCTGTGGCGGACTATTCGTTTATTAGTTATTTATTCACTATTTTTGACATGATTGAGCTAGTCACTGGCCAGTTTTGAAGGAGTGGGTGATACGTTTGCACTTTTAGTATAGCATTTAACAAGTGCAATGAATGGTATCGCGACATTCAGGAATCAATAAATATATATAGGTAATGAGAGTTTTCTTGATATTTTTTTAAATATATTCTTCATTTTATAATTCGATAAAAACCATATACCTAATAGAAAAAATGATAATTCAGTTAGGAATATGAATCATAATTCATATGAAAAATTTTCACGCTCCATTAGCGCAGCACTGAGGGAATCAAAGCCAGTCCGAGAGCGCCGCGATGGATGAGAGGACAAGATATATTTATCTCATGGTTTTTTCAGATTCCTTGTGTTCCTCAAGATTACCTATATCAGTTTGTCCTTTAAATAAGTCTAGTCGTTTTCGAGATATGCAGGCTATTCAGAATTTCTTCTAGTTTACACATTCCTTTTTGAAGATTGATAACTCTTATCAATTTGGAGAGTTAGTCAGGAAAAACAAGGATGCACTAGTTTCCACATTACTCGAGAGGTAGAGTAATCGATGCATTCGCTTTCTTTGATGTGGAAAAGCATTTCCTGGATACATAACCACAATATGAAGATTCAGGGAGAATAATTCGTCATAGAAGAGGTGAATGACATGAAATCAGAGCAGTTTCTGTTTGTTCTGATTGTGACTGCATGGAGGTCAATTTCTGAATCAATGATAACACTTTTTTGATTCGTTATAGAATGTATCTTCTTCATCAAAACAGGTGACTGTTGACATTGAATCAGAGCAGTTTTTGTTCTAGTTCTGAATGTCTGAAGGTTCATTCCTAAGTTAATTGAAACACTCCATTATCTTGTAAAATGATTAGGGTATCTTTTTTACTGAACTATTTATTTCAAATTCTTAGAGAACCCCTGAAAACTGGTGTGTGATCTTCGAGAAATTTTCGATTCAGAAATACTGACTTGCATCCTTTGGTAGCATCAACTGTGATAAACTCATGCTCTTTGGTTCGTCGAATCCGTTCAATGAAAATTTCGACGGAAGGGCCTGAGTTCAGAATCATATCTTTGATCGAATCGAAATTTACAAGCTGTGAAGCAGCATAGTTGAGTGAGATGCCTGCTACTTTGTAAACAACCTTGAACTTTTGATCCTTTGTTGACCATAGTTTGTATGTGTAATCTTTTGAGCCACCTGATACGAACTCTGTGATGTAGAAATCAGGGCCATCACATACAATTTCGCCTGTCAAATTCCCCTGGTCTGAAAATAAAGAGAACAGAGTAGTGTCATAATATAACACCCTTTTTTCAATGTGTTGTGAATATTTCTTGAGTTTTAGCCGAGCTGAGTCTGTTACATATGCAGACCACAGTGACTGTGGAAAGAGATTTGGGGGGTTGATCGACTATGAAAGTTTCAGGATGGTTTCCGCGTTGACCAAAGTTTTCCTAAAAGGAATTTAGCAAAAGCTTGGCCAGTGCTCCTTAACTGTAGTTATTTTGGCATATTCCAACAAAACATCTCCATGTTTTTAAAAATCTTCAATGTACCTTCTCTCTTATGTGGTCTCATAATTTTCTGGCCAATCTGGTGATTCAGTTTTCACCTTTATGATTTTGTTGATCATATCAGTAGGTCTAACACATATACACCAAATTGTATAGTATCGTAAGACTAAATCGCTTTGATCTCGATGATCCGATACCCCACCTCAATGGCTTTCAATAACTTGGCAACAGTCCATGTTCCTGTGTATGTACTTTCTTCATCATTGTGATGGCAACTAATAGTATTATCGTTTTCGTCACACACATGACAAAAAAACAAACATCAACTAGTTGTTCATTTTTTGTGGTGAACAGGATAAAGAAGATCTTCAAGTAGAAGAATTCAACGAGACCTGAGATAGATGGAAGAGCCACAGCACAAGCCTTCACACAAAGGAGCACTTTCAGATGGCCCACAGGAAATTTTCCATGTTTACATATTCAAGGGTAGAGCGCACAAAAGTCAACGTATTTTATCTTTCCACTATCTTCGGCCATGTAATATGCGACAGTGTTCCGTTCGGCCAGAGATTATACACACCATAAATAAACACTGTAAATGGCATGGGAGGCAACGGCTTTCGAGGTGTGAATGTGTTTCAACAGATGTCGCTGTCTATCGAGGATAGAATATTGAAGCTGTAGTAAAATCGATATTTACTACGTCCATTCACTGGTATTTACATCGTTGCCAAGACTCCTAATATATTGGTAGTGCTAATTTATTATATCTGAGATGACCGAGACAATGTTTATTTTTAAGGAGAATTTGGATTCACGACGTGACTACTTAAAAATATTAACATTCAGTTATGAAATACGAATAATAATTGATTTATATTTCAAAATTACGAATTATCTAGGTACATTTTGATTATCTATATAAAAGTAAGTCCAATATATTTGATTATTTTCGGATTTCTCTTAGTCCGGAATGGGATAATAAGTATTAAAATTCGTGAAAATTAGAAAATTCAAGATGGCGGATCCGATATGACTGACGAGTTTTGTAATCATGATCCGATTCTATTCAATATTTGTATCTGGGGTTTCACGGGGTCGGAGATTATGATTATTTCGACAAAATTAGAGAATTCAAGATGACGGAACCAATATGGCGGACAAGTTTTTTCAAAATTATAATCCGATTCTATTCAAAATTGGTATCTGGAGGTTTTTGGGGTCGTAGATTATGATCCTTTGGTCAAAATGAGGAAATACAAGATGGCGGAACCAATATATGCCGGACGAGTTTTGTAATTATGATTCGATTCTTTTCAAAATTTGTATCTGGGGGCTTTCGGGGTCGAAGATTATGATTCTTTCGTCAAAATCAGGAAATTCAGGATGGCGGACGAGTTTTGTAGTTATGATCCGATTCTATTCAAAATTGTTATCTGGAGGTTTTCGGGGTCGAAGATCATGATTCTTCAGTCAAAATCAGGAAAAACAAGATGGCGGAACCAATATATGGCGGACTAGTTTTGTAATTATGATCCGATTCTATTAAAAATGTATCTGAGAGTTTTCGGGGTCGGAGATTATGATTCTTTCCTGAAAATTAGGAAATACAAGATGGCGGACGAGTTTTGTAATTATGATCTGATTCTATTCAAAATTTGTATTTGGGAGTTTTCGGGGTCGGAGATTATGATTCTTCCGTGAAAATTAGGAAATACAAGATGGCAGAACCAATATGGTAGACGAGTTTTGTAATTATGATCCGATTCTATTCCACAAACAAATTCATCTATTCATTGATTATTTTTGGAAGAGAAAAAATGTTTCTATGCACGAAATATTTAATTACTCGTGTGGTTATGAATGAAAGCTGAAAACACCAAATTAGGTACCTTCAATTACATCAAACGATAAATCCAGTGTCATACACATTCAAAACATGCCCAAGCTTATAGTTTAAGTGTAATTAGGTAGGTGTGAGAAACAGATGTAAAAGAAAACTTCCGAATCACTTCAAAATTGGTATTTATTTCAAAAAAAGTCTTAAATATGAAAATAAAGAGATTTAAGTAACATATATCTAAAATGGCTGGCTAGGTCGGAGTCACGTGACTTTCACTAGATGTTGAAAGTAAGAATTTTTTCCAAACCAATTAAGGGATCAAATGAGTTTCAGCATATCTGCTGAGATAGAATGCTCAATTTACGAATCGAACCAGAATCATATCCCAAAGACTATTTTGAACCGATCAAGATGCACTGAATTTTTTATAAATCGGTCTCAATAAAGAAATTGGAAGCTGTAGAAATAGCATCAGAAGTTGAAGTTTCAGGAGACTCAAATATTATGTAACACGTCGAAAGAACTCAATTTCAAAATTCATACCACAATGAAAGAGGAAATTAATATCACAATAATAACTGACAAGATAGGTACCGTAGGTCAAATAACAACTTTACTCGATAGCACAATGATAGTAGATTTTTCCGGAATAATGGACATAACCAAAACCAATTTCATTCGCACAGATTCCTGACTCCTGAGAATAATTTGCGTTGTAGATCACAGTGGAACAAATAACTCTTCACAACCAACTAATGATGGCCGTACCTCATATAACATTCACACAGCCCAAGTCGCTGCTTAAGCAAATTATTCTGGGAAAGACCAGAACCAACTTTTTCAATGCCAAGAAAGAATGAAGGAGTTGGACATAATAGTAATTATGTAACAAGTGTTATAAACGTCCTCTTAGTAACGAGTATTTTGAGCGCGAGCGGAGCGAGTGTGTTCAATGAAGGAGTGTCTAGAAGAAATTATAAATGCGTTACATACTATACTTTTTCTACGAGCACATATATTGGAACAGCATAATAATATCATTTATTGTTGATATGAACTGACAATGAATTAAAATCGAGAATTCTATTGAGACAGATACACATCCACGGTTATATTAGATACATTCTGGCAGTTACTGAATGATATCAACCTCTTCTCCTCAAAGTGAGTTTTTTAAAGATTTTCTCCATTGGCTTCTTACATGATATTATTCATATTGATATTAG